CTTTGTAAAAAACATGATGAAGTTTTTCACTACCCAAAAAATGCCCCAATTTTAGTGATTTATTCTTTTTCAAAAAATTAATTGTCTCGTGAATTCTTTTGTCTAATTTATTTAATTTGGCAACTTCGACTAAATCAACAAAGGAGGGATGATTACCACTCTGCACAAACGTTTGAACCGCATCGTGAAAATTTTTTCCCCTTTCAGCGGCTCTGAGAAGAATATATTCGGGAATTTCTTCGTATTCTATTTCTCGCAAAATTCTAGTAAGGGTGCTAGCACTCAGGGCTTTCTTTCCCCCGTGGTGCGGCCACAATCTGCCGGTTTTTTCGATAACCGAAAATTCCACTTCGGATCGAGGCTTGTTAGAGATAAATTTGTTGTTAAGTTCTTCTGGAGTTTTAGTTAATTGCTTATCGTTTAAGTTTGGCTCTTTGTTCATATTAAGTCATTTTAGCCAAAAATGGAAGGCAGAAATTTTGGACTTTTATAAAACAAGTCCATATGGCTAATAAAAACTTTAAAAACCGTCCTGTTTATCAGGAGAGGAATTTGGGGTAAAATAATAAGTGTAGGTATACAGGTGAATATCAAAAATTATATATTATGGTAGTCCAAAATCAATCTCCTACACATCGATGGAAAAATATTACAAGATCGTTTTTTTGAGCCTCTAAATTTGACAGTAGAAAAAGTGGCTCAAGATATTAAAGAAAAAGATCGGAACGATTTAGATTTGGCTTGCCGATTGGCTTATTATTTTCAAATCGGATCCGAAGTATTTTTAAACATCCAACAAATTTATGATTTAGATGCTGGAAAGGTAGAAAAAAAAGCCGAGCTAAAAAATAAACCCGACCTTACTAAGCCACTGAAAACCCCGAAAAGTATGCTTAATTAATTCACTAAGAAGACAAACATGGATAATCCTGAAACAATACTCACAATTTTAATAGGTTTAGAAGTTCATATCACTCTGGCTAGTCAAAAGAAAATTTTTAACTGAGAAAGGACTTATAATGGTGATATTCTGCCCAACAGCCAAGTGGGGTCTTGAGAATTAGGATATTTAGGGGTTTTACCCATAATTAATCCTGAAGTGGTTCTTTTAGGGCTAAAATTGGCTGCGGCTTTGAATATGAAAATTAGTCCTTTCGTTCTCTTTGACCGCAAAATGTATAATTATTTTGATTTACCCAAGGGCTACCAAATTACGCAACAAGAAATTCCCTTGGCAACGCAAGGCCATTTACCAATTATTCTACAAAATCGGACAGTCAAAATACCCATCAAAGTTCTCCAATTAGAGGAGGACACGGCTAAAAGTACTTACTCATCCTCCGGGGTTAAATTAGACTTTAATCGTTCTGGTAACCCCTTAATTGAATTAGTTACCGAGCCGGTTTTTAAGCAAGTAGAAACAGTTTTAATATTTATTAAACAATTACAAAATCTTTTGCGTTATTTGGAAATCTCCGAAGCCAAAATGGAAAAAGGACAATTAAGAGTGGATTTAAATTTTTCGTTACAATTAGGGGGTAGTTACTCTACCCCCCGCTACGAAATAAAAAATCTGAATTCGCTAGCCAACATTGAAAAGGCTCTCCAGCAAGAAGTTAACAAGCACCAATCGCTGTTTTCTGAGGGACAAAAACCTCCTCTTAGTCAAACACTCGGATTTGACGAAGCCCACCAAACTACTGTTACTCACCGCGAAAAAACTAATTACTACTATTTGCCAGAAGTCAATATCCCTCCTATCAAAATCTCCTCCAAAGAAATCAAAAAAATCGTTCAAAATCTCCCTCCTTTGCCCTGAAAGAAATGAGAAGAATTAACCAAAAACAGGGTCAATCCAAACAAATTAAACCCGCTTATTGAAAAGCCTCTGCTTTTAAAAACCATTATTTTTTTAGAGAAAAAAGGCAAACTCCAAATTATGCAAAAATGATTAATATAGATAATTAGAGCGAAAAATCAAAAAGAGAATAAATATAATTCTGGGTTTCTGGGTTCTTTTTCTCTTTTTTAACAAAGCATACGGTTATTTATATTGTGTGTTTGTTGAAAGAGTTTAAGAGATAAGAGATTAAAAGAATTAAACAAAGTAAATAAAATAGTATTAAAATTATTAATATAAGTACGCATATGAAAGTAAGTAAAAAATGGAAAAAAATACATGAACAATTCACTGAAGAGTTAGCAAATAAGTGAGAAACAAAATTCGGATTTAATGAAACCAAAAAATGAATTAATTCTGATCTTGGAATTGTCCCTAGTGATTACAATTTTGTTGTCTACCTAAAACAAAATGATTTTACGCCTGAAACTCTGAAAAGTAGGATTGAAGTTGAAGAATTAAGGAAAGCGTTTCAAAACGAGGAAGAAGTTATAAAACTTGTCAAGGAATATAGAGATATAAGAAATACAGAACAATCTGTTGAAAAAACAAAAACCATAGAATCATATCGAAATAAATTTGAAGCCTATGCTAATGAAGGTATTCTAGAAGCAATATATTGATACGCACGTTTTTTAGAAAAAGGTATTGGAATATCTGAAGAAGAATTTGCTGCTAAAAAGGATGAAGATAAAAAAAAAGCTGAACAATTATTTGGAGAAGCTAGTAAACAAGGGCATCAAGGTGCCAAACAACATTGCTTAGATAATAAATTAGTTGGACTACTTGTGCTTCTCAAAGAACAAACAACTTTAGAAGATAAGGCTAAAATTTTGAATGACTTAGAAGGTTTGGCAAATTCTGGACATATAAACTCTTCGCATTTCTTGGGTCGTTCTTATACTCAAGGTGATGAAAGGTTCGGTATTGTAAATGATGAAGTAAATAAAGTAAAAGGTATTGATTATTTAGCTTCTCTTTTCTCCAATCCTGAAACTAGTAATGATGTCCGCGATGAATGTTTAAAACTTATCAAAGATACCCTAACAAATAAAGAGGTAAGAAAAATTTGTCAACAAAAATATTTTAATTATAATTGATGAAAAGCAATTGAAATTGATGAACAAATAGCAAAAAGAAAAAAAATAGAAGACAACGTTAGTAGTAATAGCGTAGTAATAGATACAATTACAGCTGAATTAAAAGTTTATTGAGAAAAAACATTAGAAGTTTTAAATAAATCCAATTCTAAGGAAATAAACGGAAAGGGATTCTTCCAGGTTTTAAAAACTGAAAATATAGAAAAAACTATTAGTGAACTCTTAGAAAATAACAAAACTAAAGAAGAAGTACTCAAAGAGATTAAAGACCGGATTGATGCAGCAATAAATACTTTCTTAGATAATAAAATCAGTGCAGTTGCTAAAATTAGTGGTAAAAAAAAGAAAATTAACAAAGCTGAAGAAGTTAAGGCTATGATTGAAAAAGTTGCAAATTTGCCAGATACTTCAGTTGATACCTCTTCACTTAAGCAGAAAGTTGAAAGTATAATCGAAAACCAAAAGGAGACTAAAAAGAAAAAAACAAAGGAGCAAATAGATGAACTAATTTCTCAAGAAGCACAAAATATTACAAAAAATTAATAATATCTCGTTCTAATCGATGAATCTGCTTCCAGCCGCAAAAAAATCCTCATTTGCGGCTGGTGGGTCTAATAATTGAGACTAAAAAGTTTGAATTATTAGTCAATAATAAATGTTCCGTCTTGACAAAAGAAAAATTTTTCTTCTCTATCATTATTACTTATTAGGTAAAGTTCCAAAAATTGTTCCGGAAAATGAGAAAGAAAAAGCGAGAATTGTTTGACTTAACGATTGTCTAATCCAAGAAAAACTTCTCCAGGAAAAAATTACCAAAAAAATGAAAACTGGTTGAGCATTTTTTCGTTCACCTCCTTTGGAAAAAGCAATATTAATTTATGCCACTTACGAGTTGTTGTGTGGAAATAAGGCCGATTTATATAAGATGATAATTGACCAAACTGTTAATTTTAGTAAGTCCTATTTAGGGAAAGATAAACATAAATATATCAATAAAATTTTGGATTTAATGAGCAAAGAAGAGAAATTTTTGCCTGGATCGGACTTTCAAGATTAAAGTTGAAATTACCAATCAAAAAGAAGACAATATGTGAGAAAGCAATTTTTCTGCTATTAAGGTAAAAAAAACGAACCAAGCAAAATGTATTAGGTATTGTAGAGAAAAAGTAGCGGTCATGTTTAAAATTCAATTGAGAACTCAATTATTAGAGTAACCCTGGCCACAAAAGGAGGATTTTTTGTGGCTGTAATTAAACCAAAAGGCTATTTTTTGGACTTTTTCTTTCTTATAATTAATGTAGCGACTAATCCTACTACAAACAATACTCCACCACCAACTACTCAACTAGTCGGGAAGTTATTAGAATTAGTTTCTGATTTTGGTGTGGCACCAACCTCACTAATGCCTCTTAATTGCTCTAATTTAGATTGCTTATTCTGTAATTCATTTTCTTTTTGGTTAAGATAAGCCCGAAATTCCGGACTATTATCATTTTCTTTTTTGAGTTCTTGAACTTCTGTTTTTAACTTATTAACTTCTTGTTCTAATTGCTGAACCAATTGTTTTAAATTATTGAATTCTTTGGCTAACTCAGTTTGATTATTTTGGGATTTTAAGACTTGGATTTGTTTCAATAATTCTTCCTTTTCTTTATTTCATTCCTCATTATTTTCGGTTGATGGAGGTTGATTAATAATTTTCTTTAACTTCTCAATCTCGTTATCTTGTTTATCTTGTTTATCTTGTTTATCTTGTTTATCTTGTTTATCTTGTTTATCTTGTTTATCTTGTTTATCTTGTTTATC